ATATGATGTCATGGTGTCTGTACACCCTTCATTTTATTTTACTTCCTCACAACTAGTTAAAGGAGTATTAAGACAGACTTGAAATGGGTTTCCCACTCTCCCACTAGACACCCACATTGCCATTTGCAAAGCAGAAAAGATATAATTCTATGATTCTATGATCATTCAGTAAACTACCATGGCAATAGCGAATGATACATGAAACTAAGTTCAACTATAATAATTCAAGAACGTACCAGGTCCGGGTGTTATACAGAAATCCAGCCAAACTGGAGCAGGGAACCTGTGTTCAAACAGGAGGCATTCAAAAAGCTGTGAAGATAAGGAAGCTACTTCACTTGTGGGACATCAATAGCAGATGATCTGCTCTTCAGCTCAGTCACTGTTGTAAGTCTCCTTTCCTCCCACACAGGTAGGACGACTAAGAAAGACACCGTCCCACATTGTGGAAGTGAGAGACTGCTTACTTAGGGAACCACCCCTTGGCAAGATATCATTTCTTTCTTCCACCCTCCCCCCGCACTTTAATAATTTTTAAGCCTTTAGAAATCTGAGTTCTGAAGAAACAGCTCTTTTGTCCGTGATTTTGCATTAAGTTTTGATAGGGAACTGACCAACCTGAGAGGAGAACCTCTATTAGCAAACTGAAGAAGATCACCTTTCTGTACTGGAAGATATTAGACACCACAGGATTTTTTGGGATTTGAGCAGACTGAAGGTGTTGTTTTAATTTTGCTTTTGTTTCTCACTATCCAACCTATTTTAATTGGCAATAAATTAATCTTCCTTAAGTCTGTTTTGTCCGTGATGGTGACTGGTAAGTGGTGTCCCTGTCTTTATTTTGACCTACAAGCTTCTGCATCTTATTTTCTCCCCCTGTCCTGTTGAGGAGGAGGAGGAGGAGGAGGAGGAATGAGAAAGCAGCCTAGAGGGCATCTGGCAACCAGCCAAGGTCAGCCCACCACAGGATGCAACAGAAAAAACAGCTGGCAGGAAAACAAGTCCGTGCCCCTCTTACACGTCTTGTTCAATGTAAGGATAAGATTATCACTGCACTTGCCCCCATGGTCATCACCACAGGCTGAGACTCCTGCTAGGTTTTTGCCAGCAGTGACCAGTATCCAACATTGAGGCTTCTTCTTGTATCTCTGTCTTAGGAGTTAGCTTCTCATGGTCATTCCTTGTTTTCAGCATCTCTAGTTTTCCCTGCTAGACCCCAGCTTGCACTGAAATAATTACTGACTCTTCTAATGCCTAAACACTGCCTAATAATTCTGCTGATTTAGATTTGCATATTCATTATTTATCAGACACTGAGATGGAAAGGATCAGCCAATTACTTCATCAAGTCTTCCTTTGACACATGGAATGACTTCTCTTCCTTTACTGCCTACATAAAAATACTGCTCTTGGAATATTTCTATTATAATTCTGTTTCATTGTAAGTCATTGCTGGGTTTCCCCATCGTTTGTGAAATAAGTAACTTTAAAGCAGAGGAACCAATGGACTAGGACACAAAGCAAACCTGTATCAGGTCAGGAGGTTCAGATCCTAGCTCCATCTCAGCTCTCCCCTCCAACAAATGATCATTGCTGAATTTTTGAGGAAATACCTTAACTTATGGCTTCAGGACTTTTGTGTTTAGGTTTGGGTTTTCTTTGGTTTTAGTCTTGATCTTTCATAGTTAAACAGACTTTTTTTCCAACTTGTGCCATAGTTTTTTGTTATTTTGTGATTATTTTTCTTGATAAAGTTTCATTTATTTATGTATCTGAAAGCAAAACCAAAGCTTCTACTTTTCTATGCTCTTTGCCATCATCCCCTTCATCTTTATTAAATTATTTTGTACTTGGTAGAGAAACGAGCTAGCACTCACCGAAGTCAGTACTTCTGATAACTTTAGTGAGCTCTGGGCGAAGTCCTAAAGGCTCACACCTTCTGGACAGAGCTAATATTCTGGCTGGAACTGCTCCCAAAACAGGCATGTTTTAACAAGTACACCTGTGATTAAGCTGAATTGTGAAATCAGTACACAGAACTGGAAGGCCCCTGACAAGTTTCTAACTTTATTCAGCACGATAAACAAACACAGGTGGGTGCAAAATCCTGCTAGAATTTCCTGAGGCCCAGCCCTATTTAAAAGCAAGGAATCCAGCCCTACTGAAATCAGGTAGCAGTTGTCTTTGTCTCTGACCACAGGGCAGTGTGATTTGCTGCTGCAAGGGTTCAAGATGGCACAGGGACTCCAGCAGCACACATGGCCCCCTGATGTGGTGGATTGGGTGCCCGTGTCCAGGTGTTGGCAGCAGTGGTGGCCTCTGTGAGAAGAGGCCAGACCTGCTGGGGATGTGTCTGCCAGCCAGCCATGGTCAACCTACCACATGCGGACAAAGAAGAGTTGATCATCCTCTAAGAGGGACTGGCTGTCGTCCCAGTCCACCTGGCTCCCAGGATGGGTAGTCTTCCCTTCCTTTTCTGCTGTTTTTCCCAGCACAGACCTCACAAGGATAACCTTGCCGCATCAAGGGCTACAACACAGGGCTTGAGCTTTCCATCTCAGGGATATCCCAACTCACTACAGAAACAGAATATATGCCCCTTACAGGACCTATTAGCCTGTTATTCATGGTATCGTTGTGAGAGAAGGTAGAAGGAAAAAGCTGTTTTCCCCCAAAAAAGGCCTTCCCCTTCACCCTGAAATGTGTAATGTCAAACATGGTGGATAGTTCAGTCTGGCCCTTTTCTGAGGGCTTCAGTCTTACTGCATCAGCAAAAAGCTAATCCAACAAACATCTCTTCCAACAACTGATCCAGCCTCTTTTGAAAGAGGTTTATCTGTTCATCACGGTACAGCCTATATTAGACTCTGTTTCCTCCTCCTCTTCTCCAGAGTCCAGCCCAGGCAAGCAAGGGAGGGTACAGGTATTCCCAGTGCCACACTACAGCCAGGACACTGTGAGCTCTAGGAAGTCCACAGGCTCAAGGGGACGTTGGACAAATTAATGAACTATAGCTACACCCAGAGATATTAAATAGAAAGACACCACTTCTGAGGCTGAGGAAGTCCCTGAGCTTAAATGGTGGAGACTGGTGGAACATTTGCAGGAAGTACTACCACGTGCTTGCCATACTCTTACCACTGCTGGAGGCAGGATCCTGAGCTGGCCTTGTAAAGCTGTTCTTCAGTTCCTATATATCGTCACTGTTGAACAAAATCTGTTCCAAATTTTGTTGAATCTAGATAAAAGTCATAAGAAACCTGTCTTCTACAAACCAAGCCCTTTGTAATAGTCTTCCTGTCTTCTAGCTATCAGTTACATGACTGTTATGTCAATTTTCAATGTCACATTCATGTAACTTGCTTTGAAGGGGGAATTAATAAAACAAGCCCAGTTGTCTCTACTGGCGACTAGTTTTTTTGCAAAGAAAATGTGCCTTTCTAACGTAGCATTTTTGTGTAGATCAAATGCCAGCATTCTTTGAGGTTTTCAAAAACATTTGGGAAAAATATTACAGCAGAGGAGTCACCTCTGCTAGTTACATGTGAGCTTTCTTTTTGTTTTCCAGGTCAGGATTGAATGATTTGGTAGGAATAGCTTCAGACAGCATTTAATTTACTTTTTTGACTGCATAATAAAAATGTGACATCCAGGAATGATGGGTAGAAACTATTGTTGGTCTAGTTAAAGAATTTATTCTGTCTTTCCTCTGTATCATTTTTAGAAACTATTGTTGGTCTAGTTAAAGAACTGATTCTTTATCATTCTTGTATCATTTTCCTATGACGTGGATCAGGATCAGAAAAGTTAAAATTTTTCTCATGTGACAATTGTAATTTTGTCAAAATGATATTTTTTGTTCTTTAACTACTAATAGAACTTGCGCAGTCATAACAAAACATTTCAGAAGAGAATGAAAATGTTATTTTTACCATTTTTTACCAATTCAATATTGCTCTTTTACTATTTTCTAGTTTTTCATAACATTTAGTAATTCATTCCATAAACAGATTGCCCAATGAGAAGATGTAGCACCTTTGGTTAATTGCAAAATCCAGCACATTCTGAATGTTTTCAGGCTTCTGGAATTATTGAGATGACCATAAACATGCTCAGACTTAAACACTACATTAGCACAGTGCTTCTAATGACTTCTTTTTTTTTTGGGTTTTTTTTTCCCTTTTTCACGCAAACTTCATAACTATTCCAAAGATACCTGGAAAAAAGGTGGGTGCTAAGAAAACTACCTTATCTCTGTCAAGATGCTGTTTGGTTCTTAGGTTGTGAGCTTGAAAAGTTGCATTCATTGCCACGACACCAAACACAATTTTGTGATCAGTTTGGACAAGGACCTATCTTGCTTAGTAACTCCATCAGCTGCCCATGGCTAAAACCAACATATGAGTTAGTGTTACCCAACATAATTCCCACAGGCATATGCTGATATTAAAGGGAAGATAAGCCTTAATCCATCCATTCTCATTTGTGATACCACATTTGAACAAAGAGATGTCTTTTGAAAAGACTTTTGAAGACCGTTTATTTTGTAACTTATACTTTATTAGTTCTGTACTTTTCTGGACTGTTTTCTCGAGAGAAAAAATGTCAAGACGCAGTTCAGCTTTCTTAATATGTAGCATCAACGTGATATACTTACTAAAGAGCCTTTAGAGAGACCAGTACTTTCAATATATAGTTTCCTATCAAATAAGTTATTTATCTTTCCCATTTATCTCTGTTGGGATATCCTTTCTTTGCCAATAATGGTTAATCTGAAGGCAGTTTGTACAGGCCTTTCTAACAGCTAACTAGAATAATAACCTCTACAGCCTCACCTCAGACCCTTAACACAGAGAGCTATTAACAAATGATGGTAATAACAAGTAGAATTATTATTGTTGCCAAGCATAAGTACCCTTTTTACATGTAGTTTAATTACCCCTTTCTGCTATGATATCTTTTTAGGTTATTATGAAGTAAATACTATTATTACACATATTATGAAGTAAAAGGACATAAAAATCATAAATATCAGACCAGGAAAAGCTGGAGCAGCATTAAATCAATCCATGGCTATTCTGTCTGAGGAACTGACAGAGCTGGACCTTTGGGATCATCAAATCTGCTGTTTGTTGTGAGCTGCAAGATCATATGGATGCCATAGGCCAGGATCCACAGTAGAACTATAGATGTCACCAAGCCCATCCAGATTCCAGGAGTGAAGAAGCCTGTACAGTCACTTGCATAGGAAAACTGGTTGTTTTCAATGCTGAAGCCTTGAATCTGAGAACGAAGAAAGGTAGGTAGATGAGTGCAAGTAAACACAGAGTGTAGGCCCTACTTTCAGGATGTGTGTGGTAGTTACAAAAAGCGCACCTGTTAATTACCACTCCCGCTCTGCCCATTAAAACAGAGTGAGAACCAAATCCTCTGCAGAACATTTTTCCAGGTGCCCTTTTCACCCAGGAAATTAAAGATGCAGAATTTGAGTTGGTTTTTTTTTTTTTGGCAAGAGGGAGGTTTCCCACTTCAGAAATTTGTGTTACTTTTAGAAGTAAAGTCCCAACGGGGATGTGTGATCAGTACAGCGCAATGACCACTTAAGAACCAGGACACTCAAAGCACTCAAAGGCATCAGATTTAAGGCCCCCACAGATCATGAGATTTGTTGAAACACCCTGAGATTTTTAGCTAATAAGTGCTTGACAAGCAGAAGTCCTGAAACCTACTTTAAAATCCCTCTAATGAAGGTGACCTTTTTGGCTGAGTTTTAGTGAAAGTTCAAGGAGAAAACAGTTGTGAAACCCTTCTCCCCCCCTCCTTAGACATCAGAGACTCAAAACAGGACAAAGGGCTTGCTTTGAGGGGTGGGACCTGCATCGTCTATTAACATATGAAACCCACATGAGCTTTTCCAGCAGTTAGAAAAATCTTTGATCTCTCTCCTTTGACTGGATTCTTGAGGTCTGCTGCTGGCTGAGCTCCTGCCATATTGTTTTCCTCAGAAAAAAACAACTAATCTGGGGATGTATTCTTGGCCTAGCTACCAATTTTGCAAAAAGTATCAACAAACTAAGTGTCTTTGAGACCACTATCCTTCTAAAAATTTTGTTAAAACCAGTCAAAGAATTAGAAAATAGTGAAGAAAGGGAAGACAATCCCCCCTCTAAACCTATGCACATAATGACATAAGCACTGATTCCTTCAGAAGGATGGGAATCTAACTGGTGGAAGAAAATGAAGGAAGGAAAAAATTAATCATCTGATCTGTGTTTTTGAGTCTTTCTTAAATAATTTTATAAAGAAAAATGAAGACTAGGATTCCTATGTATTTACAGATTCTTTGAAATGGGTGTGTAAGGAAAGCACCAAACAAATCCACCAGTAAGGAAATAAGACCTTAAAACTGACTATTTTCTATAAAATTTTATAGGATAAAATAAAAAAGGATTATTTTATGTAAATCATTTCCCTCATCAGGCAATAAGCAAGGAACCAGAAGATCATGGATTTCTACTCTTCTGTGTTCCCACTCTGATTACTCTATGCTTTATGATAAACTAAATGGAAAGCTTTGTGGTAATAAGAGTTTGCACTTCCCAGGAAAGGTGCTGGTACAGACATCAAAAAACTTAGTCTGTGGCTTGCATACTGTGCTGCATCAGTAAGCACTCTGGGTTTGAATTCATTCATGGGGCAGGCATCTAAAGTTAGGGTGTATGTAACATGCATGTTAAGACCAATGTCTATACCTTCCAGAATGTTAATTAATAAAACTATTATCCTATGCAGAACTAAGGGCTATTTATTTACTGTGGAGGTGAAGACAATTTTACCAATTCAAGCTTTTCTGGGCCTCTGAGAAGAATCTTTCCAAGTCAGACCATGGTAGCTAACTTGCAAATATTGCCTGCTTTCACTATAGGCAGTCAGACTTCTGATTAAAGCAGGATTAGCAAAAATAAGCTTTTGGGTTAGATAACAGTTTGCACAGTTTTAGAGTATACAGGAGATTACCAAAGCCTTTGCTTGTTAAGCCACTGCTTTGACAACAGATGAGAATGTGACTAAGAGTCATGAAATGTAGTTTGAAAGACTTATTTACAATTAAAAAAAAAAAACACAACAGAAAGCAGGTGATGATTTATGTAATTTATGTTCAAAAAATGGATTAAAATTCTGGAAAACAATACATACTTGTTACTACATTTACAAGAACTCTCTGAAGCACTTTACAGGTATATTTGTTTTAGAAAAGCTTTAACACTTCTGATTTAGAGCCAGAAATACTGAATTTTATTATGTCAATCCTGCAGGGTTTTTTTTTTGAAGCGGGATTATGCTTATTGAAGCTTCGAGGTGAAAGCTTTAATTGTACATTCTTAAAATGCTATGTCTACTTTTAGGTGGGAGATGAAGTATATGCAGGGTTCTTTTATTGTTTTTCTGAAGCTTTATCATTCCTGTGGGGGTGTTAGATCCCAGGTGGGATATAAGAATGTGATTCCTAGCAGCATCTCTGCCTATAGAAAAGTTAAAAATACTTACATGTGATTTTCTAATTTTTATGAATGTAAAAGCCTTTTGGATACAGGCCCTTACACTGTGGAAGTTTTAATTTTAGTGTTTGGACAAGCATAATTTGTCTTGGTTATACTAGTCTGCATTTACTGTTAATTTTGAAAATATTTTTTTGAATGAGTTTGACCTTTGACAAAGCCTCCGAGTAAAATCTGTTGTGTTCATGGCTCTTAAGTGCAGAAGGAACACCAAATCTTTTAACTTAGAAATATTTAACCACAAAGAGTCCTAATATTCTTAGTTTTAAATTCTTTGGCAGTTTTTCTTGGGAACAAATGGACTTCTAAACCACAATGACACATACTAAAGAGAAGCAGTGCTTTTGGTGGCAGCCTCCTCTTTAACTTCATAGACAAATCTGGGATCCTCAAAAGGATAAAAGGTATCATGGTAGAACAACCATTCCTGTAACAACCACAAAAACAACATAAAACCCCACCAAAACCAGAGCAGTTTTGGTACTGTGTACAGCTATGAGTGGTGACATCCTAGACTATGGTCATCCCATAGGGGTTCTTCAGGTAATAGTGACTGAGCTAGCTCCAGAACTAAAGTAAAAGGCTGCATCGGTTCAGCCTTGCCTTGGAACAAGCTATGCAAGGCTTCACCGTGCAGGTGCCATGTCCCTTTAATACTTTGGTACTGTTTTCAGGATGTAACATTGCAAAGTACAATTGTACCAGCTAGATTGAGATTGGATCCTGGTTTCTAATTTGTTGCATATCGTTGACATGAAAATCATGTTCCTCAGCTTCAGTAACAAGATTTTGTGCTGGCTACAACCGCTGAGTACATCCCATGTGCTTTTTTCACTGTGCGAAAGACCTTGGGGGTTTCTAAACCTCACTCTAAACCAAAAAACGATGCTGAGATCAATCAGATTTCACTACATATTAGTGGAAGATACCTGGAAAGGTATGATCTAGTTCAAATAGAACTTAGAAACAAGCCCAGAATGGTGACTTTCTGTTTTCTCACGCAACACAACAGATCAGAACAGGACTTTTCAGGTTGTGTTTCATGCTCAGGGCTTGATCAGAGAAAAAGGTCTTTCCCAAGAGGAACTGGAAGTTCTGTTGTCTGAACAGTGGAAGCAGCTGCTGCTCCAAAACAATAAGGATGGTGTGAAACCTACTACTTTTACTCTTGATCAAGACCTCAATGAAAGGATGCCTACCAAGTATGGAGCAAAGCCTCTCTCTAAGCTTTGAGAAGGCAGCAGTATCAACGTACACAGAAATTCCAGGAAAAAATACATTGTAAGTGGATGCTTTGTATTTTCATAGCCCATGTACTTTCATAGCCTAGTGATGCCAAAATCTAACTTCAAAGAGCTGACTAGGCAAAGTACAGTTGCGTGGGCTCAGGTATTCTCAGGCCTTTCCATAAAAAATACTGTCAGGAGGAACCTTTACAACATTGGTGTGTACTGCTTATGTTGCTTCTCAAAAAAACTGTGGAACTTGATCCTGGAATTTGTGGAAAATAAATGACAGCACCAATTCTGTTCCCTTGAGATTTCCATTGATTAAGCAGAAATGTCAAATCTGGACTCAGATTATTGAGATTTGGTTTGTTATTGAAATCAGAAATACAATTATATCAGCATTTGTATCCAGTTATCATGGGCTTAGCTCATCTTTGACAACTAGAGTCCAGATCAATGCTCAAAATAATAAAGATGCAATTGTCTACACCTTACATATGCAGTCTGTACTACCACACTAAATATACACAAAATCTATGTCTCATAAAAAAAACAACAAAACAACTGCTTTCCTTCTGGGCCAGGCAGGACCTAGCATTGCTCCTGATTGAAGTCCATGGCAAACCTTCCATTAAATCTAATTTCACTGTGCTTTGTTTTTGTCTGTAGGAGTGTAGTCTATGTCACTGAAAACAGTAACCATGCTAAGCTGCACTTTCCCAGGTAAACAAAGTGCAAAGAAATCAAATAAAAACAAAGTAAGCAGCATAAAGCCACCCACCTAATAGGCCCATGTTTCCAATAGCAGCCCAATTCATTAAACAGGCATGGGGACTTAGTCATTCTTTGCCTGATTAAGCGCATTTGGTTTTATTGGTTTTTCTTTTCTGTGGACAACTTCATAGTTTTTTGTTTTTCAAAGCTGTGCTTTCATGTTCTTATTGTTCAGTGACTGCCGTCTTTTTTACCCCTTTATTGAATAGCTCACCTAGGGGGAACAGCTTTTCTTTTACATTTTCCCTCAGGCTGCAAAGAAAGTGAGGCCATTATGAATGTGTGTCGTTCAGCACCCACAGTAGCAAGTAATCATTCTTGGAATTATCTCCGAAATGTCAATGTGTACTCACTTGCAACCTGGAAATGGAAACATCCCAGTTTTTTGCCTCATTGTTGGATGGAATCAGCCTTGCAGGATAGAGATCGCTTGTTCCCACCAGCTGACAATGAAATGAATACTCTGCAGGAGCAGAGATGACAGAAACATTAAATTTAGCAAACTTTCCTCCATCTTGCAGAATCTCAACTGAATCTAAAGTGGACCAATTTCTAGCCGAGCCTTCATAGAACTTGTTGGTCATTAAAAACCTAGAAAGGCAACAGAGGGAAAAAAAAAAAGGTCAAAATGACAGAAGGAAAAAGTTAATATTCATTTGATAAAGTACTGGTGGCAGATAAATGTTCACTACTGCCAGCTGCAAACATCACAGTATCTTAGCTTGGCCTCCCATGTCATTAGGATTGTTCATAAGTGAACAGACTTTGTGAATATGTTTTTACTGCTTCTTAGAGTTTCATCTCACAGGCACAGCTTTCCACAGCTATGGCAGGCAAGGAGCAAATGTGATTTCATTCTTCAAGGGCCTCTGCCAGTGCCATATTTCATCAGTTACCAACAGCTTATGATCAGTGGAGCAGAACCTGAGAGACTGTCAGTAGACCTGCAGCAGCTATCAATGAACTTTTTATGGGATTTTTTAAAAATTGCTTTTATGATAGGTACAGGCATGATAACCATTCTGATTTATCATTGCAATTCTTCCTTGGTTCAGGTGCCTAAATGGCAATTTGCCTTTGCAAATGTCTGAATTTGCAGTAGGAGACAGAGTTTCCTCTCACTGAATGCTGGGGAGGGTTCATCAGCCATAGTTTCCCAATTTGTAGTGGGTTAGGATCAAATAAATACTTTTGAAAAGGTCTGTGTATGTGCAGTATGGCAGAGGTTTCCAGTAGTTTATAATCACGGACTTTATATATACATTGCTACCACTGCAGTCTGAACACCTCCCAGATGTTCTGAAACACTACTGCTTTTTACCCAGTTACCTTTAAGTATTCAAGTTATCTCATACGGAAATGATAAACTTATCTCCTTATTGTATGTTGCTTAGTACTTTAACCCTACTTGGTCTGTGTATGTATTGCTCTACATAGTTTGCTGAAGACATTTTTTTTTGCTTATTGGTAACCACAAAGAATTTAGAAGAAGAATCTTTTTAGCAATAAGTGAGACTTGCTACAAAATGAAATCTTCTAATATGTCTACAATGAGTAACACTGTATGGGGATTTTAAAATTTGGGGTAATACTTAGATGCAATCATGACAGGTTTGAAAACTAAGCAGTCATCTCTATTGTGGCATAATATAGAATATTTTATGTTCTATAGGGTATATATATATAGAGAGAGAGAATACTCTCTGTTGTAGAATATTGCTTGTTTGTTCAAATAAGTTGCTTTGAGTAGCATGTCATTCACACAACACAGAGTCCAAACTCAACACAAACAATGCTCCTTAGGAGTAACACACAAAATTTGACAGTTTAGGTTACTACAGTACTTGAGCCTTTCCCTTTTTTTTTTTTTTTAAATAATCTGTGGGCTTTGATTTATATAACTTCATAATCCTCAAGAGCTTCAAAATGCTCAGAAGGAATCCTAGAAGGCAAAGTGTCATTCAGGTGAGAAAAGGATGTTTTGTCTTATGGCATTCCTTACATTTTGAGCCTAAACAGTTCTTTCCATACAACATTCAGCTGCAAGCAACAGTGAAAAAGAAAAAAACATTTGAATTTCATCTAGTAAACATTCACAAATATTTATGGAAAATATTCTATTGTTATAGTGATGAAGTTACAAAATTAAAAAACATATTAGCCTGGATATTAATGGCTAGGAGAGAGGAATTTCTTCCTGATATACAGCACAACCTGAACAGAATTTCCATGGTGCCTCAGTAGCAATGCTATAGGCACCAGCTGAAGGCCAGTTATAAGCACAGAGAAGTTTACATAAATGTTCATGCCAACCACAGATACTGGGTGTGCTCTGTACTTTTGCTGAGAAGATAAGAAAAGTGGTAAACAAGGAAATTCTTTGGAGACTTACCATATGAACAAACAAGTTCTATAAGGCTACGTATGTGAGTACAGTCTAACGTGACCTCCAAGAGAACGCTGTCTCTTCACGTTGCACCAAAGACTAAAATGTTATGTTTCTTGCAGATTTATGAGAATTAAGATTCTAATTAGTGAACTATGGTTCAGTTAATAGTGGAGCATGGCTAACTACATAATACAGGCTTTTACCCTTAACATTTTTCCAAACAACTGATAGTGAATAGCCCTCGACAAACATGCGCTTAAGTGATACAACTATAATTTATTAAACTACAAAAAAGATATTCAAACAACAAAATCAATAGAATTACTTCATTTAGTTTAACATTTTCTCAGATGAGTAGATAGCAAATAGAATAAGCGCAATATAGCAAAAGAATGACAAGGGGAAGAGAGAGAACAAAGACTTTTATCTGCAGAACTGAAAGTACCTTGGTTTTATAGGAAATGCTGTGTTCGTATTAAACTTCAGAGCCAATGCAGGAAGCAAACTTTCACATAAACATTGTGTACCTTATGTATCGTGGCACAAACAATTCCTGGTCATAGGCCAGACTCCCTTTGTGCCAGATAACCATATGAACTCTAAATGCCATCACCTGTTACTGATCACTGTCCCATGTGGCTGGTCTTTACAAGGAGAGCTATTTCTGAAAAGGAAGCTAGCTGGAATTGCTGCTGTTTCAAAGACTCAAAGAGAAACGCATTTGTTAGGTGAAAGTTCTTGAGTCAATTCTGTTCTGTGTGGCGACAGCCAAGCACTTACCAATGCAAGTGGCAAAAATACTAAGGAAGTTTTGTCCACCTTGTTCTCTGCATTTCTATCTCCTTTGACACCTTTTCCCAGGGACGAGAGACAGGTGGATGTCATCAGCTGCTGAGAGAGCTGAAATTATGCTTCTTCCAGCAAAACCTACTGCCCACTGCTCCTACCCGTGCTGCAGCAGTAGTTCACTTTTCTGACAGCAGCACAACTAGAAACACTCTACCACCGCTCCCAAACAGATCACCTCTCTGTGGCAACTGCAGGAGGATGAATGGGACTGCTGATTTTGCTGGAGAGAGGAAGAGGGAGATGGCAGCTGTTTGCATAGGACAAAGCAGCTACTGCAGCCACTAGTAGGGGGTGGGATATCACTAGCTGCTCAGCACGAGGTAGTAGACTAGTGGTGGTCAAGGGCAGGCTTGGGATCCAGCTCATGCTGCTGAGGTTAGAGCCTCTTTTATTGAGGAATAAATTGAGCTACTTGAATGTGGTCCTCTCTGGTGTCACTTTCTGTTTTCAAGGGATGCTCTCCTACACTTAAGTAAATGGCCTTTACAGGGGAAAAAATGCAGCCATGGCTCTAAGCTCTGTTCCTTCCCACCTCTTCGCCCTGCTTTTGTCTTCTTTATTGAGGCAGACTGCAATCTTACCAAAGAGTCATCTTGAACAAGAAATGTAATCTAAGTGAACCAGAAGGGGAAAACAGAGGTTGTAATGTATCTCTGTGGATTTTAGGGGCTTTTGAGAATAGGTATGCTGAGATAAACAAGGTGAATAAAGTGTTCCTGAATCATTAAAAGATCAATGGATTGTTCTGGCTCTGTTGAGTATATCTTATCATTTGCATTACATGCCATGCAATGTTCTATTGCGGTAGCTAGTGGAGACCTAAAATGACATGATTGCCTTTTAGATCAAGAGATAATCCAACAGAAAGCAGCACAAATAACCAGGTGTGTCTTTAGCAGAAAGTTATCTTTATAAAGACTTCTGAGGCGGTGTGTGTTGATGCCAGCCAGCAGCCAAGCAGCCATGTAGCTGCTTGTTTATTCCCTTTCCCCAACAGAACAAGGATAGAATAGAAAGAGCAAAAATGAGGAAACTTGTAGGTCAAGATAAAGACAGCTTAAGTGAAGGAAAGAAGAAAAAAAGCAAAGGAGGAGCAATCACCCACTACCTCCCACAAGCAGACCAATGCACAGTGAATGCCCGAGTAATGACAACCCTGGAATCCACCCCCCACCTTTTTCATCTACTCCACCTTTTATTGCTAAGCACCTGTGTCACACATGAAAAATAATCCGTTTAGGCATTTTTGTGTCTAAATGACCCTAGGGGCTATTAAAAACCTAGATCACACCTACCCCAACAGAATAAATCAAATTCTCTTGCAAAACACAGCCAGCTTATGCTACTTTAATTACTCACTGGGCATGATGACGGGCAGGACTTCACCTATTTCACCTACTCTCTTTTCAAGTCCTCACCTATTGTGGAGCCTGAGTTTCTTATCCCAGCTTCAAGGGCTGTTTATGCATTTTAATATTTAGTTATAATGTATTCAAGTAGGAGCACAGGTCAAGAGAAACTTTGTGAGTATTTCTGCCTTTACTACAACAGGCTTAAAAGATGTAAAAAAATATTCCAGAATAAGAGAGAAAACATGAACCATTCACCCTTTGTACTGATATTCTCCTTTAATTTACAGCCAGTCTGTCTGCAGAGTTGCTTCAAATTTCTTCTCTTCAGATGCACCTCAGATTCACAACATTAAAATTTTCTCCCAATAATTAATTAAAATTATAAGATTTTAACAAGCAGATGACTAAACATAAATGTGAATAATCCTCATTAAGTCCATATGCATGCACCAACATCACATTTGATCTTCTTATGCCTACTGCAGCAATCAAAATCTAAGATAAATATTTCAACTGCCAAAGTATTTTTTTCTATAGTAGCATCCTAAGGTCTACAGTTTGCTGTTGTATAGTTGAGCAAAACCTGTTGATCACTTTAAAGAAAACAACCCCTCTAAGATCTATCAATTAACTTGCTAGCTAGTTTTGCAGCACTGTTTCATGCTCCATAGGATTTTCAAGTGCTTTATGATTCATATCGTTTTCTTGGAAATGTAATTTTACTAGAAAGCATGGTATTGTGCTGAGGATGGTGACATTCAGGACAAACATAGAAAGGAACCAGATTCATTCACACCGAGATTACAGGAGAGCAGCTAAGACCTGCACCAGTAGGAGCAAAGATGCAAAATAAGAATCCAGGGCACTGATTTGGTGGGTCTGTCTGTACGAGAGTGAGACAGGAGCAGGAGAAAGCAGACAAAGAAGCACCAGAGGAAGCGATATTTTGTAACATGGAGTAAAAGTAAGGACAAAACTTGGGCAGAGTCTTGGTTTGAGAACAGTATTTTTGGAATGGGATCCAAGGAAAATGTTTCCTTAATTCCCCGGAGTGTTCAGGGAAAGGCATGCCCCTTTGATAATTTAAAGTATTGAAACCAAGAAATGCTTGACTCCATCACCAAGGACAAGAGTCTCAAGGATCCTATACAAAATTAACTACAACAGCCAAAAAGTAAAAACACTGTACTAACAGCAACGTTATCTGTCCATTATATTCTTTCACAAAGCTCTAGATGCTTGGGGAGGGAAGGGAGATGTTAAACAACAAAGCATGTTTGGTTTTTTGCCACCTATCATGGTCTCTGATGATGACTGCAAGTATCTCTATGCACTCTAGATACAACTCCAAACACATCACTGACTCCATTCAACACAAGTCCTTCTGGGGGTCTTTTTGCCTAAATGTAGACTGTCCATCTGTCTCCGTGTAAATAAAGGTATTTACTCATTCGTGCTTATCATCTTGGTGCCACGTGCCTCTTTTACACTCCTACCAAAATGTTGTTCAACCTCTGATTGTCTTCTACATTATTACTTTAAACTTCCTCTCCTTGGTTTCCTTGGATTTCAATTTCCCTTATTCAAGCCATTTGTCCTTCTGCTGCCCTAACAAACATCCAGTTGATCCTCTGATATATGCAAATTTAATTCAGTGCAAGTTCTCTGGCCCAAGTCCTTCTCAAATAAATTGAAGCAATTAACTGAGGTACCTAAATCAAAAGAACAGGCCCCATTATCCTTGCTAGAGCTTAAGAAAATAATTTTAACTGCTGTTCCTGCTGCTAAGGAAAGAACTGAGGTTTGTAGACCAGCAGCTGTAGGGCAGCCCTAAAACAGTGGCAGATGTTTTCCCCATCCCTGGAATCTACTAGTGAGAAGAACAGCAGCAAGTTCTCCCTTTGACTTTTCATCCCATGTCTTCCCATTCCTTAACGTTTCTTCCCTTTTCTCATTGTAGGAGAAACGTGGTCTTGTCATCGTCCATGGAACAGAAAAATTACAAGTTTTTGCACCCCTCATTAGCCACAAGCTAGCTCTGACAGAGTACACTGGTAATCCACATTAGGACTAAATACAATCCTGGCCATGCAAGTAGACTGCAGCCCCTAGAAATGTTTACAAATCACAGTTAGATTTTCCCGAGACACGATTGTGGTCTGATCCTATTAGCAACACACAATGTTTCATATACCAGTACCTTACAGTGCAGTTGTTTGCCTGTACCGCTTTTTCAGAACTTTACCTGAGTGTATTAATATAGTCTCTATATAAATACCGTATTATTGTTCTCCTGTATAGTTACTCCTCAGAACAGAAATCAAACTGTAATTTTGAAAACGTTTTCACTTAACTCCTCCTCTTTTTTGGTCCTAATTTACAAACAGGCTTTGTACATCACAAAGATCTATTTAAGAATAAACCATAAGTTACCTTATCTCTAGGCTGCTGATTCCATTCACTGGCTTTGTGTATTTTAATGACAGTCTAAGAATAAGAAACAGATTTTTAATGTTAGAGTAGTCAGCTTTAATTAGATCATTGTGACATTTCAATCCGAGGGAATATTCTAAATCAATAGGCAATTACAAAAGTCATATAGCAAAGGTTCAGTACACAGAAAAATATGACAAAATATTTATATAATTTTTTTTTTTACCCAAGAGCAGGTGCTTCAAAGTAAAGGAAAGCAGAGATCACGTTTCATTAATGTACTTCCAGCTGAATTACTACCTAGTAACAGGCAATACTCTCCTTCAAGGGAATTTTACAATGAAATGATGATCTTATTAATGCCAGTGGAGATTTCTGTTATTGTAAGATCGGGCACAGGGAAACTTGTTTGGACCAAATATAAGCAAACAAGGAAGTAAGGAATGAAAGAGGGAAAAAAATGTGAAAATAAGAGGCTGCATCTGAACAATTTCTGTGGTCTTGACTCAATCTTTTTCCTCTAAGAATATCCAATTTAGTTTTTTTTATTATTATTTTGGATGCTTTAGAAGAAGAAAATTAAAATAGTATTAACTTGACATTGCACCATTTCTGATTGGCTTTCAGAATCACATGTATTATGATATGAAATTTCTTGTGCTACTCACGTTGTGTTGAAGTCTGAGCACTTAGAGGAAGAAATATCCACATTCTGGGTTACAAAAGTTGCATTTGTCAAATCTATAAAAACTGAATTGTTGGCTTTGAGGGTGAAATTACTAGCATAAAAGAGGATGCATATATCATTTCCAGTCGTCACGTTCAGAGGAGGATATGATAAACTGTCTTCTTCCTCAGTGGCCATTAATTGACGCCTTAATTCCCACACCACATCAGTTCTTCTTGAAATCTGGAATAAGAGCACATTAACAACTCATCTCCTTTGCAAGACATAATATTAGTTGAACGTTGACCTTCACCATTCTGTACCATGAGCTTCCACCCTTCTTAAATCCACAGTCAACCTCAATATTTATTTTTGTCTGTCTATGTACTTGGCAGTATTGAGGCAAACGAAGTGGTGTCAACCTAGGTGCCCACGGTCAGGTGTCCACATGCAAAAACAAGCATCACTGACTTTAGGCAAATGACCCTAAACCCATGTTGGTAATGCTGCCTTAAGATAGTAGTATGCATTAGGTATGCTAGCAGGTGAATATTTATTTTTTTTTTTACAGAAGAATATATTGGAAGAAATTAACTTTTTTCTGAGATAAAATCACAAGAAAACTTCAACTTGCCAGTTTGGTGACCACTCACCTTAGTAACAATAACAGGTTTTGAATTTTTAACAGGCATAGAAAGCAGGCTACTTAACCACAGCAGTGCTATATTTAGACTCTTCTGATGGCTTCTGGGAAAAGATCTATGCTTATTTGGCTGATATGGTGAACTCCTACAAGAAACTTCACTGCACATATATACATTTTCTTTTAGGAGGTTTCCAGGAATTCCCTTTAATAGATAATGCCTTTTTACAAATGTGCCCAGGGCATCCTTGGTAAAACAGCCCCATTGACACCAACAGTAAAAGCTAGCTGACCTTATCAGACAATAACTTAACCCTGTTGTTCATATCTCACTCTTCACTTCTTACTCTGTTCATATCTGGGCTATTCCACCTATTTTTAAGACCCATGTCAGTTTTACAACTTTGTATTCTACAAGCAGCCTCTGCCCTTGAATAACTTTTGGATACAAGAAATGAGAGGCATCACAGGGGTTACCAGAACTATAATTATGGGGAGCTATTGCCTGGAACCACTTTTAACGGGTTTAAAGAAAGGCAAGGACCATTTTCCGATCTGGAACAGAGGCTACAACATCGCTTTATAACCTGCCTGTGTAGAGGAGCCCCAGCAGATTTTGTCACCTTAACCGCTGCTCTCTCAACACTATGGGCCATCTGTTATTTACAACGTGTCTTTGCAGATACCTCATTCTATGAACAAAGCAGAATGGGCTGAGTTAAAAAACTTCGACTAAATGCTCAAATGAAGATTGCAATCTTCCTCTCCCATACATGCATACTTTATGAGTTTCTTTTAAATTCAGGGTAGTGCCTTTTCAAATACATCGGAACATGCATTATTTTAAATGAATACCATTTTCTTTAAAAGAAGAGTGTACAACAAAAGAAAATACTCAACTTTCGATATAAAACTTTTAATCTTCCCTTAGGCTCTCCTGAAATGTAATCATTTTATTTCAAACTGAGAGGAAGAGCTGAAGTCTAAATTATATCCTGTCTAACAATTGACTTCACTATGTGGGCCCCGTGTATCATCCGGAGAGGGTTTTAAAAACCACCTGCTAATAGCTGAAAACAATGCTACACCGGAGACTGTGATTGGGCTAACTTGGGGGATTAGGTTTAAGTATCTTAAAATAAAAAGAAAGCCATTAGAATATAATCATGAGACTACAGCTTTATCTCTGCTGCGCTGCTGCCAGTATTTTGTCATGAGGCTCTCACATAAAGATTCCCTTTCGTCTCTGGAAAAGCATATGAACTGAAAGAACATTTGCCTGTGAAGAAGGGGTGTCAGGGACTAAGAAACCCACTGGCTTCCCATAATAAAACCAGCTTTTGAAAATTTACCCATGCTGAGGAAGGGAGGCAGCACAGTTTGCCAAAAACATTTCTAAAAGCGGGCTTTGTTTCGGTCATATTTGTGGCTGAAAATACATGCAGTGGTGGAGTGTGCAGCCCGGTGAGTCCTTAACTCGCACAGTGATAGGCAGCAGGACGGCTACGCCAAATGGGAGCCTGACAGCGTGAGCTCTCTGGAGAAGTGTTCCCCAAACACTTACCAGCCTCTATCATGGAATCACAGAATGGTCAGGGTTGGAAGGGACCTCTGGAGATCATCTAGTCCAACCCCCCTGCCAGAGCAGGTTCACCTACAGCAGGTTGCACAGGACGGTGTCCAGGTGGGTTTTGAATATCTCCAGAGTGGGAGACTCCACAACCTCTCTGGGCAGCCTGTGCCAGTGCTCTGCTCCAATCCCCTAATCATCTTCATAGCCCTTTGCTGGGCCCTTTCCAGCAGTTCGCTGTCCTTCTCAAACTGAGGAACCCAGAACTGGACACAGTACTTCAGATGTGGCCTCACGAGGACAGAGTAGAAGGGGAGGGTGACCTCCCTTGACCTCTGTATTCGTCCCTTCAGCCTGGAGATGCATTTCTCTAAGTTACCTGTGGGTCAGGTGGTTTAGCACATTAGGAATCAGAAAGAATACACTCACAGAGATTCAAGAAAATTTAGTCTTGAGGCTGGAAGGAGAACCTCTGAAACGCCCCAGCCCGGGACCCACTGGAGACCTGAAAATGGCAGTCGCTTCTTCCAGCTGACACGCAGTGGGAAGCTGAGCGCTCCCCCAGTACCTTCCTGCCTCTCTGTTTCAGGTACATTTTCTCATTCTTTTTTTGCTGCACAAACATGAGCTTACTGAATTAAAATCATTCTCCCTGTGCCATATATTTCAGGCTAAACTATAAATGACAAGATACATTCTTGAGAAAAGGATTATATTTACACTGAATTCTTGTAAAGCAAATTAGGTTATTTAGGAACAATCCATAGTGGCAGTGTTGTTAATCTTTAAACCATATTTTATCCTGTTGTTTAGTGCCCCCTTCGCCTTTACCCAGTCTGAACCGTGGGATGTGTGAGTCACTGCCTTGTTCCTCTGGATTTATCAATGACATTTTTGATCTCAGATATGCTGTGAACAATCACAAGACCTGATTAAAGAAGATACAGAAAAAAAAAAAAATGGTGCCACTTACATTGTCCTAGACCTGAACTGAACACTGTAATTACTAACTGAACCTGCAATAGAAGTAGCCTGGACAAAATTCTTCCCTTTGATCGGTTTTGCAAGCCTCCTAATTCAGAGTCATCTCTCTTGGAAAGGAGAAAGACAGCTGATCTGGCACCATTTTGATGCACCAACACTCTGATCTTTTTCAAAGCAAACAGACCTTACATCCAAAATTATTCATTTGTTTTGTTGTTGTTGCCAGGCTTTTGTTGGCTGTTCCAAAATAGAATAGCTAGAGACAAGAAAAAAGATTTGGGGCCATTTTATATATTTGAATTACAAACAAATATAAATTGAATGGTTGCAAACACATGAGAAAAATACGAAATACTGGGAAAATAAAATTTTCATTGGCTGAAACGATGAATGGTAATGAAGCATAGAAACAGGCTACATTTCACACTCATTTCAACGTGGGATTTTTGGATATCAGTTCAACAGATGGTTCTGTCTTCTTTTTCAGTCTTGTGCTTCTTTATTGCTATGTTTAGGTGTGCACATCAAGAATAAGAAAACCGTCCTGGTGGTGCTTGTTGCTCCTTTTATTTTCTAATGGTATGGATCTATGACCACATCCTCTCTGTGGAGTTGTTGCTCTTATTGTAACAGCTAAGAGAAGGGGAAGGTCTTTCTGTACTTTCAAGGAGGAAGGCCAGGAGGAAGAAGGGTCCAGTCCCTTTCTCTTTTTAGGTTGTATCTTAGCCTAGTCCCTGCCTCCATACGGTACTGTGCACTACAGTGCATTCTCTGTGTATACCCTACGTAGATGGCAAACGGTAATTTTGTAAAATTTAGCCATAACATGATTAAACCAGCTGTTGGAATCACAAAACTACACTAAATTCTTAGCTTCTATTAAAAAAAAAAAAAAAAAAGAAAATGCTGTATAAGAACCAGATACTGCTTAATAGCATTAAACTTCACAAATGCAGAAAAGACCCTGAAAATACTTAGGGCGTACAGGTATAGACAAAAGCTCAAAATACATTGTGAAAGGGGAGGTCAAAGAATCCTTTTTGGGTCACTTACGATGGCCTGAATGACGAGGTGCAACATCCGAGGAGGGCTGGGCAGGCGCTGCAACTGCCACCACAGCACCTCAAAGACAAATACCTGCTACCTGAAGCAGATTTTGGGTTTGGTAGCTTGAACTGCATCTACCCATAATGTACCATCCGTCATTCTTTTGACAGGATACTAAGCTGACCGTATGCTTGCAATTTCTCAATTCGCTTTCCACTCTTTTTTGTTTGATTGTTTTCGCAAGATATCATTTAAAAAATGGCACTATGGGGCTGCTGTGCGCTGAGTGCAGGGGTGTTGCTCCCAGTAGAACAGCAGATCATGCTGCTTGCTGGGGTTTGGCTGTGGCACATCAGAAGCCGCTCAGCATTCCCATCCCAGCCCAGTATCAGCACATTTCAAAGCCGACATTACCATTTCAGTTTCCTTCCCACACAAACAGGTTGGTTTTCCTCCATGTTTTCTAACTGGTGTAGCATCGTGGCCTTACTATGGACAGCATCACCATCACCCCTGGTAATGCATCCGTTTTTCTGAAAGATACTGTACCACCAATCTGTGATGCAGGCAATGGCTGTTTGTACCTCACTGCTAAAGGCAAGCATTAGAATTTTGTATTACCCCAAAGATGTTCTTTGCAGTGTAAAGCCTATAAAATCACATATATAGCAAGCATAAAGAATTTGATTACACATTTCAGTCATCTGTCGGGGCAAGACTGTAGCAAAACAGTGTTTTGAGCTGTCAAAATCTAGAACATTAAGTAGATAGTTACCAATTATCTCTATTTTTGAGAGTTTGAACTGTTTATATTTTTATGATTTCTAATGTTTTGTGGGTTTTGATTTTTTCTTCCCCTCCAAGCTGTCTTAAAATATAATTCCAATTTTGGCCCTAGATTTGGTGAATCTTGCATTCCATACAAACCTTAAGCACTCTCCCTCTGTTTTATTAAGGAAACTGGATTCCTCGTAGATTCATCCACTGATACACCAGAGG